AAACGTTATGGTCTAATTTTATACCTGATACTAAGGAGAGCAAGAAACAGATCAGGCTCATAATGTTAATTTAGTATGATGCATTAAGATACATTTACCACTATTTTATTATTAATACTGATTTCTAAAGCTGTGACCTATATTTGGAAAACAAAAATGCAGAAAAGTTTCAGCTTTAGAGAAGCTTTTTTAAAAAACAAATTCAAGCCAAATTTAGCTTGAATTTGGTAAATAACTTCAGCTGAAAAAATATGGAAAATTTGGGAACAATAACTTTTTTGCAACAACCTATTTCAAGGCAGTGTTTTGTATTACAAAATAGCTAGATTTAATATAAGCAAGAAAAAACAAATAAAAATGATACATTTCGTCTTAAATCATAACAAAACTTCTGAAACTGGAAATTAAGTTTTTCTCTCTCTGAATTTATACTTTGCCCACTAAATATATATATATGTTAGGGAGAGGGGAGAAATTATATATATACACATTTCTGTATCCAAATCCAATATCAAATCATTTTGGACAATGAGGATATTCAACAGATAAAAGTTAACATTTATGAACCATTGGTAACTACAGTGTAATGTTAGAGTGTGGAATAGTCTCCCAAAGAAAGTGATGGATGCAGCAGCATTTAGACTTTTAAACTCGATCTATATCAGAAGGTCAGCATGTGCTATAGGGTATTGACTGAAGTAACAAGTGAATCACACTTAGAAATGTTTCATAGAAACATTTCAGCCAGCCTCTGCCATTTTGTCTGGAACATTTCTGAAGGTTGCAGTCTCCTCTAGCACTTAAGACAGGCCCCAGCAACCCACGGCCCTGCTGCTTGCTTACAGGAAAGGCAGGGCAGAAGGGAGGGGAGGAGAGTGGATTGCTGAGCAGAGGTAAGCAAAGTGAGGGTTCCCTAGCCCTGTCACCCAGTGTCTGGCACTCTAGCTCCAATCCTCTCTCTCACGTCTCAACCCAGCAGAGAAGTAGAGGGAACTCTAGAACCAGCCCTGGGACTAGGCAGAATTAAGCCCAGTGGCAGGTCTGGCAGGGATGGGAGTTCCAGTGAGAGCCCTGCAGCACCCCAGGACCTGGAGCAGGACCCAGTGCCTGGACAGCAGGCAGACTGTCCACCTGCTGTCCCTTCCTTCCCCGTCCAGATGTAAGAAACAGTGAAATGCTCTTAAATAGGACTTTATTTCAAGAGGTACTATTTTGGACTGTTTCGGCCACTTTCAGTACGTTTCAAAAGGCTTCTCTGTGCATACAACTGGCCCTTAGAAACATTTTTAATTGTTACATATGTCCACACCAAGAAAACAAATCTACATTGGAAAGGAACTGGATTATGTTATAGAATGGTCATCACCATGTTGAATATTTAAGATGCTACAGTACTCGTAGCTGTGTATCACTGGTAAATTCTTACTGGTACTTTGTTTTTAAGACTTCTGTTAAGATAATCCAATTTCATTTATTTTTCTTTTCTTCCATTCCAGTTTATCTCCTATTTCTGGTTGCTTAATAACTTTGTTTTGAGCAGCTTACTTTTACAAAAGTATTACAACGAAGCTTTACATCACCTTTCTGAGCAGTTACCCTTTTCTCCATTTCCACAAGACACAATAGAATCTCCGTTTAGCATCTGCCTCAGATCTGGGAAAATGGTTTAATGTGCTCTTGTTGTTTTTGGCTGCAGACATCATTAGCTGAGGACTGCTTTTTCCTGCTAGAGGAAAGAGTTTCCCAAATGGATCAAGGTAGGAGGTTCATCCAAGATCAAAAGCGTGAGTTTGAAAACACAGTTTTGCATTGTCCAAAGGAGGACAAGATGTAGGAAGGCCCAAAGTGCAAGAGCTGATTAAATTTAAAAAAAGAAAATACTTATATGCTTCTTATGAAATTACTGTATGGAGACCAGATTTATTTAAAAAGGATCATTTATTAAACATTTTTTCTTTACAAAGTACAATCAATGTTTTGTATTCAGGTTTGCTTTTGGGGTTCAGCTGTATGTACACAAAAGTCTGTAACAGAAAACACGTCTCAATTTTACATTTGGGACATAATACTGGAGTTTTATTTTGGAGTCATATAGTTGATTGCTACCAACATAAGCAGTCAATAAAAACTTTCAACTCGTCTGCTGGTTTTAAAACCTCAAGATGAAGACACAGCATTTCTACAGAGTGTAACACTTACCAAGGTACTCAACTGCAATGTAGTAGTGATGTGTAACTCTTAATGGAGATGAGGAAAAAAGGACAGAATAAATTCTGAACACGAGTGGAACATTAAGTTCTTTCTGGCAGGTCACTGGACTACCCTTATGATCCTAAAAAAATCACTTTTGCAGTTATAAAATAAGAAGAATTGAGGAGATAGGTAAGTTTAATAATACCCTATTAGCAGCAGTTGATAGTAAATGCAACATAAGGTTTGTTTTGTCTGTAGTACAAGGACATGCCCTATCAGACACTACTGTACTGTTCTCTACTTGAACACAGGTGTCTGCATGTATTGTATGTCTTTGAGAAAACAAAACAAAAATAAAGAGACAAGAAGCCATTTATCGTCATGAGTGACTATTGCCATCAGCTAATATGAATGCATTGCTAAAATTAGTGAAGACAGGAAAATGCTGTAAGGTAAATATATACAGAGTTAAAATACATTTCTTATCCACTAGATAGTGATTTTGTGGCACTGTGGTTTTTCAGAGTATAACGTCTTTTGAGCAATGTAATCTTCAGTGCAAGCTAAAGCAAAAATACCTGCCCGCCATCATAAACATGACAAACACATCTGGAATGTTCAAAGCAAGTTCATCTTCCACTTCTCCACTCTTGAGGCACCTTTAAGACATGGCACTTACTGTAAACCATCTAAAAATCAAGAAAAGCAGACATGATATGCCTGAATTTTTCATATCAATTTAAAAAAAAAAAAAATCGCTGCCAGAGTCACTTGCATACGTAAACGATGCCTGTGTAAGGCTTGCCATCGTAGCATTTCTTTCCTGAGAACGGAGCTGGGATCATCTCTTTGAGTATCATAAGTGTGCATGCTCAGAGCTGTGATCACTGTCGTGGCTGTCATCATTCGCTAGTGAGTCCCCCGTGTGCTGGAGGCTAGCTGCACCAATTCCAGGAAGCTCAGAGGGAAGCAGTGTGCCCTTTTTCACATTTACCAGTTCTTTTTCCCGGGCGGCCGCCCCTTGCTGGCCCCCCTTTACCCGCTTCCATTTCATTCGTCTGTTCTGGAACCAAACTTTTACCTTAAAAAAAGAAAGACAAGACAGTTATTGTGACTTATCAAAATTATTTATTAGCATTCCAAAAACTAACTGTGCTTTACTTATGTAGTACCCAACAGCACATGAAGTTCTTCACAGAGCAAAAACAAGGATAACAGGTTCTCTCTAAAGAGCTGCAAACTGATGTTAGACAATGTAACACAAATGCATGCATGCGCAGATCTAGGGTTTTGAAAAGGACAGGGTGCAGATTTTGTTTCGTTAGTCCTGCAGTCATTATAGCTAAATGTACATTGCTTATTCAGGTTTGCAATATGAAATATAGCATTCTTGAGTGTCTTGACAGTGTATTTAATACTTCACTGTTACTCATTCTACCCCCCGAGTTAAAATTACCACACCTGAGTTAAGGCTTTTACCTAGAGCTAAAAACAGTCTGCAGGCCTGTGAAATAGAGGAGTGAGATTGCCAGGAATGACTAACAAACAGCAAAATTGCTTGATTAATGGAACACCAAGACCATTAAAGAGGACAGAGGGTCATTAATACCTGTGGAGTGTAGAGATCGAGAGGAATCAAGTAGTTTTTATAAGAAGCCATGCAGTCAATCAACAAGCCCTTAGCACTGCCTGAGTAGAAATGCTGCTGCCTCTCCCAGGCAGTTGGTTTTAAACTTTGGGTGGAATAGGAATCAAGGGGGCCAACAGCATCACTGCACCTCCAGACCAGTCCCATAATAAACAACAGGAGGAATGGGATGATGAAATACAAACGGCCTCACAGTAAGAAAGTAACACAGTTTCCTAAAATACACAGCACTGCTACAATGCCCTCCACTGGAGGATCTTAAAGCTCCTTAAAACATTAGTAATTCTTATATCAGTATTTTCCTCATTTCAGAGAGAAGGAAATTGAGCATATAAGTGGGATTAAATGACTGTGCCTTAATACTGATTTATACCCTTTATTTTCACAGGTTTTCAAGTATTTCTTTCAAAGTATTTTAGATACCTGGTAAGTATACAATGGAACAAGAGAGTTTTGCTCTAAAACAGGACTAGAGAAAAACAAGCGGGCTTTTTTTTTTTCCTTCCCCCAATTAGTTTCAACCCAACAAGCACTTCTAATATACCCTCTTCCCAGAATTCTGTCTTACTGGTATTACCAATAGCACTGGATGGGTTGTTTTTTTCCCAGAAAAGTATTTTAGTTGCAAATAAATAAATAAATAAGTTTGTGAACAGGCACTGAAATCATTCAACAAATTTGAGTCAAAATTCAATTAATAGTTTCAGCCAAAAGAAAACAAATCAAACTTAAACCTTTTTTAATTTTGAAATTTAGCTGTCTTTTTAAATTAAGCTGCAAAAATCCTGCCCAATATGAAAGACTGTGGTCCACCTAAATTTTTTATTTACTTGTTTTGTAACCAAAAAAAAAAAAAAAATACTTGCAAACCCCTGAAATAATTCTCTCCTGCTACAAATTATAAAAA